TATCCCGACTTGATTTATGGAGATAAATAATCATAATACGGGGTCATTAAACGTAATCAAATCATGCACAATACTTTATTATATCAATTACCTTCTTGCAAACTCACTAATTGCATACATATCCGTTTCCCGAAATGAAAAATGCAACGTAACTGCGGTCATTAGACACAAATTCATATTTCCACAATGATCTATGTTTTGCACGCTGGAAAAATCCAATTTTTGTGATAATCTTACGTAAAGAAATAGCGTAAAATCTGACCCTTTTATAAATCTGCCCCAAACGTGATTTTTATTTTACCCTCTTGTATAACTTTATATTCCCCCGAGAATGGCCATGTTTATTTATTTTTTATCTAAATTAACAGCACTATCACCCGGCGGGCCAATCAACAGCCAACAACTAAGATATACCACCAATGGGAGACGATTTGAGCGTCTCCATTCACCAATCACCAACGATTATATTGTCTTATGTGGTTGGCGAGTGTCTTGCATTAACCTGGTGATAATTAGGTATATTTGTCACGTTGTCTCTTCTCCTACCCACCCCGTGTCCCCCCACCTACTTCATGTCACCTCCACCCACCCTGTGTCTCTCCCCACCTACTCTCACGCTACGTCAAGTCTCTTCCCCACCCTCTACACCCACCCCACCCACCCCACCCACTCTCAGGTTACCCCCCCCTCACCCACACTCAGACTGGAATGGGAGTATCTTATGCACTTTCACTCGAGACTCTCACCTTCCTCACCTTCACCCATGTCACCATCACTTTCCATCCTATGTCACTATCATTTTCACCATATATATCACCATTTTACACCCTATCTGTCACCATCATTTTACACCCTATGTCACCATAACGTTTACTGGGTTATTTCAATCATCATTATACATCACCTTCACTATCATCATCATCATCCATAGCTTCACCATCACCAGTATTCCACGTCACCAACACCACGTTTTCCGTTCACCATTACAACAACTCCAGTCACTATCACAAATCACCATTATAACTTTCATTATCAGTAGTTACATCACTATTAACACTATACCTTGTAGTATTATCTATAGTGTCTTCGTGGCTCTCATTTTCACTATCATTACCTGTGGAGGTTAGGTTAGGTTAGGTTAGGTTAGGTTAGGTTAGGTTAGGTTAGGTTAGGTTAGGTTAGGTTAGGTTAGGTCAGGTCATACGTATTTAGCTGATGGACGAATCTTCAGGTGATCCCAAAAATTCTACACTTTGTCTTTATTCGGTGGTGCTTTTGTTTACCTGTGACGTCACGAGGGAGCACACGTATAAACCAAGCGGAAAACTAAAATAAATATATAATATGTTTTTTTATACACTAAAATTAGACGGATAAAAATGTGAGATATATATTTTTATTCCATATCATTAATATAGAAAATACAACACTGAAACAGACGGAAAAAAAAAGTAGAGAGAGAGAGATTACGGAATGACAGCGTATAATTGAGACCGTTTGTAGAACATGCACACAAACAGGAGACGTAATGACGCTTATTCCTATGATGATTTCAGGCTTTCATGGTTATTAGATCACATTAGGTTGACAAGGGTGGTCTAACGTGGTGTTTTGTGACCCCTTACGGCCCACAGACACGCAACAATCATCACTGTAGAGACGCCCGCCGCACCACCAACAACACCCGATTACCCGCTCTTAAAAAACCTCTTCCTCCTCCTCCTCTTCCTCCTGCGCGGCTATAACTTAAACCATTGAATAATAATAATAAACTCCACTATTACAGTGTTTAATAAACCTATAAGAATAAAAGAATGCAAGTTATACACCTAAATTAAGCTGGTTTTCATATATTTACTGACAACTAGTGGGTGGGTGGGTGGGGGTGGGTAAGCGTCCAGCAGTAATGGCGTCTAACTCAACAATGACGACCAGGTGTTGACAGGCTAGTTAGAGGGCGTGATCGACTTTTGTTTTTTAATGATCCTTCTAAATCAAGTAGTTATTTTACACGGTGGTCACTAATTCACGTTCCTTCGCCGCAATATCCTCCAGACGTGTTAATTATCTTGTGTAAATATACATAGGCAACATTACTAAAATATCTGGAGCAATAACACAAGTCGTTACTAAAATAGCTCTAATGGTCTTAAGTAATTAGGCTTTTTTTTCCTTTTTTGTGTGTGTATTTTTTTTCTATTATCATCTCATTTAGTGTCGTCATTGAGAGTGTAAACCACCTTAAACCACCTTAAACCACCTTAAGTATAGACCAGAGATAATGGTTTATTCTGGCGTGGTTTATATAACTAATACTATATCTTATTCCTGATAACATCTCGGTATATGAATTCTAGTCGACCAGTTACATAATGTAAGGTCACATTACCGTTGTTTATAATACTTGACTGAGGCTTACGTGTATATATGTCGGGATTATTTGTCAACATTACCGTAACTTTTGACAGAAATATTCATGTTAGGATTTTTTTTTTATGATTTTAAGTTAAGAAAACGTATTTAGCTCGAGTTTCAGTATAGTTTCACCGCCATTTTGTCCACCTTTCAATGTGGTTTGAGTGAAGTGTTAGGATTCGTTCTCACAGATCCAGCAGTACGAAGGTGAGGAGAGAAATAAAAGTGGAAGCGTTTGGCTCTTTGAGAATCCAGGTGTTGTCTCTCTCTCTCTCTCTCTCTCTCTCTCTCAAGACCCGCCACGGCTGAAACAAATGAATGTCGAGTCCAGGAAGTGACGCACAACAAGGTGATATTTTTGGGGTAATTTTTTCCCCGCGAATTTACAAACGGATTGACTTTATATATAGTATATATATATATATATATATATATATATATATATATATATATATATATATATATATATATATATATATATATATATATATATTATTGTATATATCAAAGGGATTATATATAAATGTTCTTATATTAAATTACCATATATGAAGGCTATATATTGTCACTAGAGCCTGACATAATACCACTCAAACTCACTTTCTTGTGTCAGTGCCTTTGAGAACGCTAAAGAGAACGTGTATAGCAAATTACATTAAAGAATTATTACTCTCTATTATAAAATGATTTCATAGAAGAGTTATAGCTTACGCGGAGTATGTTAGTTATAGTGGTGATAGGTATTGTAATAGAGGAGAGGTGGTGGCGGGGACCAGACAGACACCTTTCCCACGCACTCTACCTGAACAAAAGCGTATTGCCAACCACTCCTCCATTTTTTTCCTCCTTAAGAGAAGTTTAATCAAAAGAAGGTGAAGGAAATGTGCTGAAGGAGGGAAACAAGTGGCTGTAGACATTTTGTTTATTCTCTTAGTACTTGTCAACAAACCTGCTAGAATTTTTTTTTTGGGTGTATGTCTAGATTAAATTTATTCGAAATACAATAGCACAGGAATTAAGTTGAGAAAGGGGATGTATTTTATAAGGGTTATTTAATTCAGTACATCTTGCACTTTACAGCTACTTACAATACAGTATTTATCACTTATATGCAACACCACCGTGGAGTAATGTACAATACAATAGATGCATCGTGTACAGTACTTAAGACATGTACTGTACACCTTTTACAACACACCTGTACCACACACTTCACCACACACCTGCACCACACACCTGTACATGCACACCTGAATACAACATAATATTTCCCCCCCCATTCATAAACATCTAAATTATATATTATTACCCAAGATTATTTTATAATTGCTGGCGTGGAAGTTAGACTTGACTGAGTGAATTATAATAATATCGTATAGGGAGGCGGCCATTTTTACCACTGAAGGTTTGAGCGAGAACAATAACACAATCATAAACGTTAACCTAACCTAACCAAACCTAACCAAACCAAACCTAACCTAACCAAACCAAACCTAACCTAACCAAACCTAACCTAACCTAACCTAACCTAACCAAACCTAACCAAACCTAACCAAACCTAACCTAACCTAACCCAACCTAACCTAACCTGATTTTATCTTACAGTAACGTGACCGGTTTTAGTATGTTAACTTCACTACGTACAATGTTTATTCCGTCTACTTTAAAGTGTGGTGTGCAATCTAGTGGACCCGGGTTCGTTCCCACGTAAGATCATATGATAAGCACGGGTCGAAGGCATGAGCTTTATGTATTTCTTGTTTGTTACCTGTTACTAGTGAATTACCTGTTACTAGTGAATTACCTGTTACTAGTGAATTACCTGTTACTAGTGAGTTACCTGTTACTTGTGAGTTACCTTTTACTGGTGACCTACACAGTACTAAAAAAATGAACTATGTAATATGTAAAGTATACACACATTTATATATATATATATTATCTCTACATACAGGTATACATATATCGTAAACATGTATAATGAATAGATATTCATAAGCTTGTAGCGTACGATAGGTAATTATAAGCTTGTAGACTACGATAGATAATAAGCTTGTAGAGTAACATAAATTGGGAAGAACCTCTCGTACGTCTATGGGAAAGGGTCGCGGAAGGGGGACGTGATTGCTGCCCGTAACATCATTGGGTATGACTTTGCTTGGGAGATTGGTATCCCCGCATCCCCTGAGCAACGCTCTTGTGCATTATGCAGAAGACCCGACAGCAGCACCCTTATCCACTACCTCCTAAGATGTCCCCACACACAACGCTTCCGTGACTCCTGCTGGACCACCACTCCACGACCCCCTGACGGAGACACGATGATCCTCCCCATACTGACCAGATATTTTGTAAATAATATTGATGATGTGTTAAAGGAATATCCTTCCTTCCTTAGGCTTTAGTAAGCCCCTTTATAATATTTATACTGTATATACTTGTGACACTTGCCAGATGCTTCTGGTGTCATTGTACAGGGGTACCTAGTGACAGCACTAGGATCCCGCTTCCTCTATCAAGGAATAAACAATTGAAATTGAAATTGAATTGGGAAGCATGAACAGAAAACGGAATGTGGGTCTTACCTCTCCAGATGTTTGAGAACTTCATCATACGACGCTCGACAGTTTTCCCACACCATCGATCTGAAATACAGGTGGTGATGGTGATGAGTTGTGGTGATGAAAATGGTGATGGTTGTGGTGTAGAAAATGGTGATGAAGTTTGGTAATAGATGGTAATGATGATGACGTTTGGTGATAGAATGGTGATGAAAATGGTGATGGTGGTGATGAGTTGTGGAATAGAAAATGGTGATGAAGTTTCGTAATAGATGATAATGATGATGACGTTTAGTGATAGAATGGTGATGAAAATGATGATAGTGATGAGGTCTAGCGATAGATGGTGATGAGGTTTGGCGATAGATGATGAAAAAGGTGATGAGGTTTGGTGATAGAATAGTGATGCTCTGTGATGATGATGAGTTTTTAACATATATATGATGAGAATAGTGATGCGAAAGAGTTTTGGTGATGATAATATAGGATAATGAGTACTAAAATTTATGGTGATGGTGGTGATAGTGGGTGATGATGGCAGTGGATGATGATAATGGTGATGATTGTGTGTGATGGTGATGATTGTGAAGACATGGGGGGGTGATGGTGATGATAATAGTTGATGATGGTGGATGATAAAAGTGATGAAGTCTAGTGATGATGATAATAGTGATAAAGAGTAGTAGAGAGTGATGACAACTGGCAATAGTGATGATAACAGGACGATAAAGGTGGCGGTAAGATGATGATGATGATGATGATGATGATGGTAGAAGTAGTCAGAAGAATTGAAATTGAAGGTCGAGTCATTTTTGAGTGAATAACGGAGCTAATTAGGTCATGGCTGGTGTGTGTGTGTGTGTGTGTGTGTGTGTGAAAATTTTACCACGTATAGGTCAGGAATTTTGGTTGTTAATCGAAAACTTCCGTATACTCTCTCTCTCTCTCTCTCTCTCTCTCTCTCTCTCTCTCTCTCTCCTATCAGCACCGCTAATAATGATCATGATATATAACGCCTCGACACGTTTACTCTCCATTCCATCACCCCTAAATAAGCTAACGAGGACCACAACACAACACGGTAATTTAGCGTTAGTTTCCCCTTCCTTTAGTGCCTTATAACGAGGTCATCACTGTCGTTGCTTGTTACATGACATTCTAATCAGCTAGTTTGACTGACCCCTTTTAAAAGTTCCCTCGCCGCTACCCGTGATACCAGAACGATTGTGTGTGGGAACCAGTGGCGTAGCGGAGTGTGGGAGGGTGTTTGCTGGGACCGCTTCTGTTTTTGCCTCCATAAATTCTCTTGTGTTTTGTTTTGTTTTTATTTCTGTGTTATTGTACCTTATTCTATTTCCCTTTTCACTTTGTTTTATTCTTTATTTGTATTTATTTTATTAAATTTTTTGTTATTGAGAATGATAAATTAATTAATAGCATATACGTTTGATTGGAAAGAGCATACCTCAACGATCAACACTATACTTGAATAATAAAATGTGGGACTCCAGACTCAAGAACTAAAACACACAAGACATACAGTAGACGTGATGGAGATGAATGTGTAGGGAAGGTATATAGAGAGATATAAACATAGATGTGGTTATATAGCAGGAACGACTAATGAACATACACAACAAAAGTTAATATAGACGCATGAAGATTATAGAGAAATAAATTTAAAAGGTAAGAAAATTTATATATAATTACATTATTTAGTGAAAAGTTAATAATGGGAATGTTAAATAAAAAATCTTAGTGTGGATAATAAATGAATTGATGTTATTGAAATGGGAGACTTAAAATTGAAGAAAGGTTTATAGTAACATCCAACATCCATCTGATGCTGGTGAGGACGTATTGGTCCCCGGCAGTGAAGGAGTTACTCACCGTGCGAGGCTGTCAGGTGGGGGTCCGTTCTTGAAGGGGTGGTCTGTAGCATGGGCGGCCCATGGTGCGGGGTGGGGCGGCAAGGGAAGCCCAGTGTGGGCCAGGAGCGCCGGGTGGGGCATACCCCCATTTAGGGCCATGTACTGGGCCATCAAGCCCTTGGGGGGAGGGTTGTACCCATTTGACAATAAAGGTGACTTCTCGATCTCGTTATCTGTCGGGGGAAGATGACAAGTTGTCTAAGAATGAAATTATTCCTCAATAATTGATGTATATTTCAGGTATATGTGTTGGACGATGTGACATATAATGCGATGAACTCTATGAGAAATTATACCAAATGAACATCTTCAGAGTTAATAAATAAAGATCAAACAATTCTCGCCCTAAAATGAGGCCATTAATAACGTTTATCCTGGAGTCGTTGTCAGCACCCGGGTGGGGCGCCAAGGGACGACACTCACCATGCACGCCGCCGTTCATGAAGGAGCGCAACTCACCATGCACGCCGCCGTTCATGAAAGGCGGGAAGTCGCGGGCGTCCATGCGGGTTTTCTTCAGCGCCATCAGTGCCTCCGGCGAGAGGTGTGGCGGCGGCAGCCCACCTGGCCCTAAAGGACCAGGGAGGCCACTCATCCCCAGAATCTCATGTGGGCGTTTCGGAGGGCGTCCTGGCCTGTAGGGGAGGAAGGAAGAGTTGTGGTGAACACTTACATTCTGACACAATATTTATCTCAACAATATTAATATATATGAAGACTACAGCGGTCATGGCGTGGTTATACTTCATAGCTTAATACAGCTCCGTATAGTGTCATGGCGTGGTTATACTTCATAGCTTAATACAGCTCCGTATAGTGTCATGGCGTGGTTATACTTCATAGCTTAATACAGCTCCGTATAGTGTCATGGCGTGGTTATACTTCATAGCTTAATACAGCTCCGTATAGTGTCATGGCGTGGTTATACTTCATAGCTTAATACAGCTCCGTATAGTGTCATGGCGTGGTTATACTTCATAGCTTAATACAGCTCCGTATAGTGTCATGGCGTGGTTATACTTCATAGTTTAATACAGCTCCAATATAGTGTCATGGCGTGGTTATACTTCAGCTTAATACAGCTCCGTATAGTGTCATGGCGTGGTTATACTTCATAACAATACAGCTCCGTATAGTGTCATGGCGTGGTTATACTTCATAGTTTAATACAGCTCCGTATAGTGTCATGGCGTGGTTATACTTCATGGTTTAATACAGCTCCGTATAGTGTCATGGCGTGGTTATACTTCATAGCTTAATACAGCTCCGTATAGTGTCATGCGTGGTTATACTTCATAGTTTAATACAGCTCCGTATAGTGTCATGGCGTGGTTATACTTCATAGTTTAATACAGCTCCGTATAGTGTCATGGCGTGGTTATACTTCATAGTTTAATACAGCTCCGTATAGTGTCATGGCGTGGTTATACTTCATAGTTTAATACAGCTCCGTATAGTGTCATGGCGTGGTTATACTTCATAGTTTAATACAGCTCCGTATAGTGTCATGGCGTGGTTATACTTCATAGTTTAATACAGCTCCGTATAGTGTCATGGCGTGGTTATACTTCATAGTTTAATACAGCTCCGTATAGTGTCATGGCGTGGTTATACTTCATAGCTTAATACAGCTCCGTATAGTGTCATGGCGTGGTTATACTTCATAGTTTAATACAGCTCCGTATAGTGTCATGACGTGGTTATACTTCATAGTTTAATGCAGCTCCGTATAGTGTCATGACGTGGTTATACTTCATAGCTTAATACAGCTCCGTATAGTAGCATGGCGTGGTTATACTTCATAGTTTAATACAGCTCCGTATAGTGTCATAGTGTCATGGCGTGGTTATACTGCATAGTTTAATACAGCTCCGTATAGTGTCATGACGTGGTTATACTTCACAATATAACTCCACATACTGTCACCTTAGACCACGAAACACACACTGACCACGTGACACTGTGTTATATATCATTGCTAAGGGATTTAATATTTCTACGTGTACTGTTGTCATTGGAATATGTTTTGATACGTGAGGGATATGTGGAAGAGTATCTCAGGTTATATTTTGTTGTTTCTGGTGAATATACTTTTATTAAATACGCAGTGTTGAAAGAAAATAAAGAAGAATGAAAGCAAAATAAGAAGATAATTAAGTATAAGAGAAAGAAGGTCTAAGAAAAGAAGAAGAAGGGGAAAGAGAAGAAGAAGAAAGAGAAGGAAGCAGATAAGGAAGAGAAATGGAAGAATAGAAAGAAGAAAATGAGCAAAAATCTAGAAAAAAGATACAAACAAGGAAATTGATATAATAAAATAATAATAAAAATAATGATAATAATAATAATAAAATAATAATAATAATAATAATAATAATAATAATAATAATAAGACAAGAAAATATATTTCTTACATTCATGACCTAACCATTACGCTTCTTTCCACCCTTAATGACTTTTGACCTATGACCTTTAGAAGTCAATTAATGTAGAGGTTTGTACACAGTTTGAATAATATCCCTGTACTTGGTATTTAGGTATTATGTACGTTATCTTACGGACGGACGGACGGACGGAGGCATATACGGACCGGGGAACAAATATACACGTCCTTAGTGCATTTTACGTACAGTACAATCCACCATAAACCGAGATTGTACATTACATCACAACTCTTCCACGATTGGCTGAGAATAAAAATACTGAATGGTGATTGGTTGAAAATTAAAGTACTAAAAAAAAAAATCTCGCGTAATTGGTTGAAAACATTTTAAGTACTGAAATATGATTGGTTGAAAAAAATAAAGCTGAAATATATCTTCGGGGTAATTGGTTGAAAAGTACACCACTGAAATAATTCTTAGAGAGAGAGAGAGAGAGAGAGAGAGAGAGAGAGAGAACCTTACTGCGACAGATTATGCACACGAGCTGACAAGTTACGTCACCTCATTAATATTCACAGTTTACTACAGGCCAAGAAAAAAAAAATAACAATTTTAATTCACATTCAGATATGTTACAGAACGAGGAGGTGGACAGCTTGGTATAATCGCCTTGTGTAGGTCAGTGGTCGCTAAACCATCAACAGTATCTTTAACGAGGGGAAGGGGGTGAGGGAGGGGAAGAGGAGGGAGAAGAGAAGGGAGGGGGGTATGAGAGAGGATGAAGGGGGGGTGATGGGAAGGGAGGGAGAGGAAGGGGTGCGGGTGAGGGAGAAGGGTGGCGTGGAATACACAAACAGATGTCTCTCCCGTTGACCGGCTTTTAAACACGAGCGAACAGAGAGAGAGAGAGGGGGGGGGGCGGTGGCGTACAATAACAGAGGCCTATACCTACCTCCCGTTGACGACTTTGAAAACGGCACGAGCCAACAGAGAACCATCACAAACTCACACACACACACACACACTTTCCCATACGAACGGTTAGACACAATAGCATTTAGCAGATGATTCTCACATTTTACCCCTTTGGTCACCACATGTTCGGCCGCCTGTCCAAAGTAAATACGCATTTTTTTTTTTTGTTCTCTCCCCAATCACATCCGGACCGTTTCATTATGTATCTCGTTGTTTGCCAAGTCATTAGACCACGTTCTTGTTCGTTCGCATGACGGGTCAATTATTGCTGTCGTTACTATGGTGTTGATGACGCACCGTAGACTCGAGGTGGTATTTTTTTTTTTTTTGGTAAGATGTTTGGTGTTATGAGTTATTTTAAGGGATTGATGAGGTGTTTTTAGGGATGTATGGGTGTTTTTAGGGATTTATGAGTGTTTTTAGGGATTTAGGGATTTTTTGAGTGTATTTAGGGATTTATGGGTGTTTTTAGGGATTTTTTGGGTGTTTTTAGGGATTTATGGGTATTTTAGGGATTTAATTATATTTTTAGGGATTTATAAGGAAATTTTGAGTTATTACGAGTACTTTTCGATATTTTTTTTAAGGGTTATGTTAATTTTTTTGGGGGGGTGGGATTTTCTGACATATTTATGAGGTATTATTTTAGGGATTAATGAGTTTTAGTACTTCTGAGCTGAGGGGAGAGAATAGGGGTCGAGTTTTGCAATCATTCTCATATTACTGATAAGAGAGATATCACTCCAGATGATAAGACACTGTTGCCATAATGTGTTCCTCTTGATTATTCCTTTCGATAGTGAGGGGAATATTTCTCCATCTGGTAATAATGTTTATGTAGGATAATTTATATTTACTTTTTTATTATTTTTTAATAAGAAAGGATAAGAGAAGAGGCTATTTAATTGAAGTGTATTAATGGGTTGATGGGTTGAGGGGTAAGAGAAGAGTTTCCTCAGCTGGCAACACTTGCGGTCAATGTTTACACAGGGGGGGGGGTCTCGGGGAGCGTCAGCGGTGATGATGGCGGTGGTGGGAGCAGCAGTAGTGGTGAGCATTGGCTACCCACACACACATACACACACACACACACACACACACCCTTTTATCTGATATATTCCTTTGTCATTGTCCTGCGCCGAGTCTGAATGATTGACATAATAAAAGGAAATTGTTGTTAAGGGTTTAAACTTTTATTATTATGAGCAGGAATAAGTTTTCTTTTCGAGGTGTGGGGGTGGAATGACGGCAAGTTCTTCAATACAACTCTTTAGCCATAATGCGCGACACACCAACACAAATTATGTCTGTGCTTGTTGCAACTTTCTCCATTGTTGAATATCAAAGAGCGAACGCATATCATCATTCACTAACCGTTGATACATTGGTTAAATTCTCGTATAAATGGCTCACAATTATCAACGGCCGTTTAGATATTTGCATATGACAGGTATATAGCATTCTGCCTGTTGTATACAAAAGCATGGTGGGTGGAGGTGGGGTGTGAGGAGGGGGTGAGGTGGGGTGGGGAGGGGGGTGTGAGGAGGGGGTGGGGTGTGAGTGGGAGGGGGTGAGGTGGGGAGTGGGAGGGGTGTGTAAGGAGGGGGTGAGGTGGTGGAGATGAGAGGGTGGAGGGGTGGGGGTAAGGGGGGAGGAGGGTGGGGTGAGGGGGTTATATCTTAATTCCCTAGAGCGTGTATATATGTATGACAAGCCAATATCATGAATACAGTACTAAATTGCATTCTGTTTGCATGTTAGCTTAAGTAGGTAGGAAGAAATGGAGGGAGAGAGGAAGATGGGGAGAAGGGAGAGAAGGGGAAGTGGAAGAGTAGGAGAATAGAGAGGGAAGAGGGAAAGAGATCACCTGAAGATTAGCACCTCTAACTTATTTCACCTGATAATTAAACACCCTAATGCTACCTGGGGATTAGGTTAGGTTAGATTAGGTTAGCCTGAGGGTAGTTAAGGTTTAATAAAAATGAAAATAATACAATAATAATAATAATAATAATAATAATAATAATAATAATAATAATAATAAAGAACCTGTACACATGAACTAAAGACTAAACTGTCCCACATTGAGTTAACGGGGAAACTTGTTCATATAGATTGTATTAACGCCTCTGGTGACCTTCGTGAACAAATCAACTGAACAACATTCTTACTGACATGATAGAAGGTTTTTTTTTTGTTTTTTATACCTAAGGTGAATGTTGAAAAAATGTAGGATGAATGTTTGATTGTATCTTTGAATATGTTAAAATGTATTTCTT